AAAATTGTGTGACTTAAAATAACGTATAGTAATGTAGCATAACAAACCCCGACAAGTTAAAAAATAAGCCAACGTAAAAAACATTACTTAACCTAAAACAAGAACGTAAAATAACATGACAACGTCAAATAACATAGCCTAATAACATAATTTAACGTAAAATAACGCAACAACGTAAAATAACATAGGGTAAAATAACAGTGTAACAACGTGACAACTTAAAATAAGCCAAAAATGGAAAATAACATTACATAACGTAATTTAACAAAGTAAATAACGTAGCATAAAATAAAATGAAAACTTAAAATTAGCCAAAAAATGACATTACATAACTTAATGTAAAATAATATAACATAACGTAAAATGGTCACACTTTATTTTGATGGTCCGTTTGTTGAATTCAAGTTACATTGCATCTACATGCCAAATAATTCTCATTAGATTATAAGTAGACTGTTAGGTTGGGGTAAGAGTTAGAGTTAGGGTTAGTGTAAGTTTACATGTATTTGCAAAGTTTCTTATAGTCAGTTAAATGTCTGTTGAAGGAGCTGTATCAACAGATATTAAGCAGACAGTCTACTAATATTCAAATGAACCATTAAAATAAAGTGTTACGTGTAAAATAATGTAGGGTAAATAACATAACATGACAACTCAAAATAAAGCAACACATGTAAAATAACATTATTTAACTTAAAATAACACTGTAAAATAACATAATAACAACATTAAATAACATTGTAAAATAACATAATAACAACATTAAATAACATTGTAAAATAACATAACTTAAAATAATAATAAATAATAAAATATAAAATAACAGCGTAACATGACGTTACAACTTCAAATAAGGCAACAATGTAAAACATCATAACATAACTTAACTTAATGTAAAATAATGCAACGTAAAACAACATAACGCAAGGTAACATAACAACATAACGTAGCATAACATAACAACATAACATAACATAGAACAATATAATATAGCGCAAAACAACAACTTAATAAAACGTAGAGAAAAATAACAACGTAAAATAAGGCAAAATAACACACAGTAAAATAACTTGAAATAGCAATGTATAATGATGTAACATAGCGTATATGAACTTAAAAACATTCATTCATTAATTTATTTTCTTGTCGGCTTAGTCACTTTATTAATCCGGGGTCGCCACAGCGGAATGAACCGCCAACTTATCTAGCAAGTCTTTACGCAGCGGATGCCCTTCCAGCTGTAACCCATCTCTGGGAAACGTCCACACACTCATTCACACACACACTACGGACAATTTAGCCTACCCAATTCACCTGTACCGCATGTCTTTGGACTGTGGGGGAAAACGGAGCACCCGGAGGAAACCCACGCGAAGGCAGGGAGAACATGCAAACTCCACACAGAAACGGCAACTGAGCCGAGGCTCGAACGAGCAACCTTCTTGCTTTGAGGCGACAGCACTACCTACTGCGCCACTGCTTCGTCCAACTTAAAAACAACATAACTTAAAACAGAGTAAAATATAACTTAAAATAAGGTAACATAACAACTTAAAATAGCAGAACGTAAAACAACATAATAACATAACGCAAGTATGTGCTGTAATTTTATTCTTTGCGAATGTTCAGTCAACATAAACATAAATGAATTATTTTGCTACGAGCCCAAAACAACCCAAGAAAAGCTTGAGTTCCAGAATGCTGATGGTTGAATCCTCGGGCAAACAGTGGCTATAAAAGCTTACAGCGCTAATTAGGAACTTCAAACAGATACCCTTAAGCGAAGCATTCAGTTAGTGAGCCGCCACGCTGGCACACACACACACCCCAGAAAAAAAGACATCTTGGAACATTATGTTCAATGTTTTCAACAAATTAAATTTATAATTATATCACTTTCAAAAGAGAAAAACAAACACTTTCAGACGAGTTTGGCTTGATTGTGTGTGTTTTGACTCAAGCCGATTAGAAAACGTCCTGTTAAACAAAGATCAAAGACATTATTTAGAAAAGTGAGTGTCATTATGAACGAATTATTTAATGAGTGACTCTAAAGATTTGTTCAAAACCGGATTCACCGAAGAGCAAAATGCTGCATTTTTAAAAGCTTTTTAGGCAAAACAGAACAGACAATTTTGCATCATAAACATAACTTGATATAAACCTTTTTTTGTAATACTATTTTTACACTGAACTGAACTAAACTAACCTTTAACAGTGACAAATGAACTGAAGCACTTTTAAAGTTACTAGAACTTTATCTATACACTCACCGGCTACTTTATTAGGTACACCTGTCCAACTGCTCGTTAATGCAAATCACATCCAATCACATGGCAGCAACTCAATGCATTTAGCCATGTAGATATAGGCTGCGTCCGAAACTGCATACTTCCATACTATATAGTACGCTAAAATCAGTATGCGAGCCGAGTAGTATTTCCGAATTCATAGAATTCAAAAATCAGATTGCTATAAGTACCCGGATGACTTATTACTTCCGGCGAGATTCTGGAGTGCGCATCGCATGCACTCTGCGCTATCCCAAGATTCCCTGCGAGAGAATCCATAAATGGGAGTAAAAGCAACACAACTGACGCAGGTAGGTCGCGTGACCATGACAAAATGGCAGATGTAGTACATCCGAATTCCATTCATACTTTTCCCGTTCATACTCTATAGAATGTACTTTTCCAATGGCTGAATTGTATGTTTGAATTCAAATGCAGTACCTACTGAGTAATAGGCGGTTTCAGATGGAGCCATAGTCAATACGATCTGCTGCAGTTCAAACCGAGCCTCAGAAGGGCTCGAGCAGATAGAAAGGCAACAGTAACTCAAATAACTACTCGTTACAACCGAGGTCTGAAGAAGAGCATCTCTGAACGCACAACACGTCCAACCTTGAGGCAGATAAGCTACAGCAGCAGAAGACCACACCGGATGTCACTCCTGTCAGCTAAGAACAGGAAACTGAGGCTACAATTGGCACAGGCTCACCAAAATTGGACAATAGAAGATTGGAGAAAAGCTGCCTGGTCTGATGAGTCTTGATTTCTGCTGCCACATTTGGATAGTAGGGTAAGAATTTGGCGTCAACAACATGAAAGCATGGATCAGTCCATCCTGAGTATTGTTTCTGACCATGTACATGCCTTTACGACCAGTGTCTCCATCTTCTGATGGCTACTTCCAGCAGAATAACACGTCATGTCATGAAGCATTAATCATCTCAGACTGGTTTTCTTGAACATGACAATGAGTTCACTGTACTCAAATGGCCTCCACAGTCACCAGATATTAATCCAATAGAGCAGCTTTGGGATGTGGTGGAAAGGGGGATTCACATCATGGATGTGCAGCAGACAAATCTCCAGCAACTGTGTGATGCTATCATGTCAATATGGAGCAAAATCTCTGAGGAATATTTCCAGTACCTTGTAGAATCTATACCATGAAGGATTAAGGCAGTTCTGAAGGCAAAAGGGGGTCCAACCCACTACTAGTAAGGTGTACCTAATGAAGTGGCAGGTGAGTGTATATGTTAAGCTGCTTGAGAGACGATCTTTATTGTAAAAGGCCATCAAGAAGATCTGCGCGCTCTTGAACCGGCTTATATTTGAGGGGGCGTGCAAGAAGTTGTGCACGAGCAGAGGAAATCGGCGCGCAAGCAAAGAGATCCGCATGGTGTAGGCTATCACATAAATCTGATCTCGACTTCTAATACTGCGCTCACGACATCTGTCATTGAAATAACGCCACAGGTAGTTGGTAGATCCCTGTAAAAAAAAAAAAAAAAGGCCTGCCGCCACAGCTGGAAAAAATCCTAGAGGAAACACTGAAATTCATATCACATTTGTGATTACTCACATGATGATATTTGGAAATATTTAGCTTATTATTACTGAACTATACCATAAAGTAAATATAAAAAGCACAAATTCAAACACAGAGTTTATTTGCTGTAATAAAATTAATTCTGACTAGATTATAATGATGTCAGTGCTTTTAGATGGTAAAGACGTATACATTTATCAATAAAGCAACAATTGCCATATCATAGACAATAGCCCCTTTCACACATACAGACCTTTCCGGAAAATTACCGACAATTTTCCGGAAAGGTTGTATGTGTGATCAGGCCCTTTTTGAAAATACCGGTAAATTCGTTCTGGCTATTGTCCGGAAAGAGAAGTTGTAACATTACCGGTAATTTGCCGGAATGCTGCGCTGTGTGAATGCAGAAGGAAGATTGCCGTAATAAGCGCGTGCACGTCTAGAACGGGCTGACGTGAGACGTCTGCTTTAGCCAATCAGAACAGTCAGACGCATTCACGTGCGCGCGGTTTGTGAGAATAAAAGCCTTTGAATATTTTTCCAGACACATTTAGCTGCTAGATGTTAGTCAGATCATGTTTATATGTTCCTTCTTAATGCTGTGTAAATAATTATCGATAAAATGTTTATGATAATCCGTTGTTTGTTTACCTTCAAGCTTTGCGTGTGCCCGTGAGCGCCCATAGCGCCAGCACACACACATATCATGAACATCTCGACATGCGAAAGTGTTACCCTATGTTTTCATTAGAGTTGTACTCAATACTGATCCATCCGAAGAGTTTGTAATGTAGTCAAATGTTTACAAACACAAGCGCAGCCGTTTAGAGGTCATTTCTGGTTAATGATGTCAGAATTTACCGGCATTTTGCGATGGATGTGTGAATACTCTTTTCCGGAAAAATTCTGTAACGTCCTCGCCTGTGTGAACAGCGTTTTTTTGAATATACCGGTAAAGTAGTTCCGGAAATGTTCCGGATATTTACCTGTATCACTGTGTGGAAGGGGCTAATAAGCACACCCCTATCATGACACTACTCTTTCTCAGGAAGACTGCTTACTAAAATCTGCTCATTTCTAATTGATTTAGAAACTGAAAGCAGATGCATAAGAATCATTCAGCAGCTCAGCATCAGTTCGTTCGTGTCATGCGTTTGACTCACGTAGATGTAATCGTTCGGAATCGCTCTTGTCCGGCTGTGTCCCATATCTGCAGTTTCACCTTCTCTCCATTAAGCTCCACAGTGCGGATCTTGAAGTCGACTCCTATAGTGGTGATGTAACTGCCTATAACACACAAACACACACCATTGAACTATGCGTGTATGATTATAATAGAAAAGGTTGGGCTTCTTCAAATCTTTAATGTTCATTATTGGCTGTACAGAGAATCTTTTAAGAAGCCTACACTGTCTGACTCCATTTAGCAACACGTGATCCACTAAACATGATTCAATTTCAGTTTTAAGTTTTCAATTTAGGACACCGATGAATATTATCTACCAATATTTGAACTCTTAAGGTTGGAGCGGCATGGTGGCTCAGTGGTTATCACTGTCGCCCGACAGCAAGAAGGTCACTGGTTTGAGTCCCGGCTGGGTCAGTTGGCATTTTAATAAAAAAAAAATGTAAAAAATGAATAAAAAAAAAAGTTTTATAATTTTGACTTACCTGAAAATGTGTTGTCGGCGAAACGCAGAAGAAGACTGCTCTTTCCAACACCTGGAGTGATAAACAAACAAACAAAACCAAAGAATGAGGAAAAATTAAGACATTAAGCAGCGGATTTCACTCCAATAAACCAGATACGCTCCTGGACTAAAGTCTGCACATTATTTGATTTCTTCCACAGTCTTTTTAGATTTACCACTTGATGTTCAACCCAAAATAATCTCACATAGACACACACAAGCATAAAATCTGATCCTCCACACTGTTCTAAAATTAGACAAGAGGAGTCTCCTGCAAAAACACCAGGGCTCTGTTCTTCGTACGTGGATTACTCAGTTAGCTGGATTTGGTTATTGACGATTTGACACGATCCAGGATCGTTTCGTTCTTCAAAACTAATCCGAGAGTTGTTGTCATAGCAACAGTTCTGGCAGATCAAACCGGGGGTCTTTTCTTCGTACGTGGATTACTCAGTTAGCTGGATTTGGATATTGACGATTTGACACGATCCAGGATCGCTTCGTTCTTCAAAGCTGATCCGAGAGTTGTTGTCATAGCAACAGTTCTGCTAAGTCAAACCTGATCGGGAGCAGGTTCAATTCATATGAACAGGATTAGATCGGCTCAGTTCAAGCAAAGATAATACAGAAAGTATGTTCCCAATTCTGATATTTTCTTACAGTAGTAGTTATACACTTGGGAAAATTGTACATATTTTTAACCATATATATAAAGTTATAGTCATTAATAAAATAAATAAAGTTATACATATTAATAAAACGTATGCAATCTGCACCTTTAAAATGAAAGTACAAAGACTGCCACCTGGTGCACAGAGAAAACTTATTGATATGAACTTTTTAGATCGCTTTAGTACAAATTGTGTATAATAGAAATGCACAATATGTGACTTTTTTTAAAGCAATAATACATTTATGCAGTCATAAACATGTTTTGATTGTTAATATGCCAGTGATTTGATGCTTCACAAAAGTTGCAGACGCCTTTACCAATATCAAAATGCTTTTGTAAACAACCAGTTATTCTTTACACCGATTAAAAAAAACGGCTACTATAATAAAGAAAATCTTTTCTAAATGTGGAATTAAATACATTGATTTGCATTGAAATACATGATCAATACTCTTGACACATGAAAGTGTAAAGCCTGCAGTTCACAACAAATGTGAAGTTACTGCGTGTCATATTCAACAAACCGTTTACTGCTAATTTGATGTAATTTAGCTCACATGGATAATTGAATATTAATCAGATGATGTCATTACGCTGCTGTGCCGTCAGCCAATCGTTGCATTGCTGATCATGATTTCGAGGATCGATAGATCTGTCCTTCACAACACACGCAGCGATCTCAGATCAGTTTATCCAGACATTCTAATCTGATTTGCGAACTTGTTTGAAGAACCAAATTAGCGAGAGATCAGTTATCAAGATTAAAAGATCCAGGATCTGCCAAATAATCTTAGATAATTTAAGCGAGGTACGAATAACGGACCCCAGGGCTCTGTTCTTCGTATGTGGATTACTCAGTTAGCTGGATTTGGTTATTGACGATTTGACACGATCCAGGATCGTTTCGTACTTAAACTTATCTGATAGTTGTTGTCATAGCAACAGTTCCGGCAGATCAAACCAGGTCAGGAGCAGCTTTAATTCATATAAACAGGATTAGATCGGGTCAGTTCAAACAAAGATAATACTGAAAGTATGTGCTGAATTCTGATATTTTCTTACAGTAGTAGTTCTATACACTTGGGAAAATAGTAAATCTTATTAAACTATACATATAAAGTTAAAAATAAATATGTATATTAATAAAACGCATGCAACCTGCACCCCTGAAATAAAAGTACAAAGACTGCCACCTGGTGGTGCGAAGAGAAAAGTTAATGGAATTAACTTTTTAGAACGCTTTAGTACAAATTGTGTATTATAATAAAAACAATGTGACTTTTTTTTTTTACATTTATGCAGTCATAAACATGTTTTGACAGCTAATATGACAGTGATTTGATGCTTTTTTTTTACTCATTTTTAATATTTGTTTTTACTTTTATTTTACTTGTTTCTTTTATTCTTGTTTATGTAAAGCACTTTGAATTGCCACTGTGTATGAAATGTGCTATATAAATAAACTTGCCTTGCCTTCACAAAAATTGCAGACGCCTTTGCCTATATCAAAATGCTTTTGTAAACATCCAGTTATTCTTTACACTGATTAAAAAAATACTACTATAATAAGGAAAATCCTTCTTTGTAAATATAAATAAATTGCTCTTGACACATGAAAGGGCCAAGCATGCAGCCCACAACCAGGTGTAAAGTTATTGCGTAATGCATATCATATATAACAAACCGTTTACTGCGAATTTGATGTAATTTTGCTCACATGGATAATTGAATATTAATCAGATGATGTCATTACGCTGCTGTGCCGTCAGCCAATCGTTGCATTGCTGATCATGATTTCGAGGATCGATAGATCTGTCCTTCACAACACACGCAACAATCTCAGATCAGGTTGTCTAGACATTTTAATCTGATTCACGAACTTGTTTGAAGAACTAAATTAGCCAGAGATCAGTTATCAAGATGAACAGATCCAGGATCTGCCAAATAATCTTAGATAATTTAAGCAAGGTACAAAGAACGGACCCCAGGTCACTTCAGCTGTATTATTGTGGAATATGTGCATCAGACTCTTTCTGAACGTCCTGTGGGTGTGAAGTCTGAGACTAAAGCAACACACACACACACACACACCACCGCTGACTCTCACACAGGAAGATAAACCAAGAAAACATCCTCTCCTCACAAATGACTCCTGCAACACCAATTTATTCAGAGACGAGCTACAGAAATGCCTCCAAAACGACTGTGTAGAATGAGTGCACACACTTAAAGGGGCAGTTCACACAAAAATGAAAGTTTCGCCATCATTTACTCACCCTTTACTTGACTTTATTCACAAAAGAAGATATTTTGAAAAATGTTGAAAACCTGTAACCATTGACGTTCATACTATTTTGTTTTTCCTACTATGGAAGTCAGTGGTTACAGATTGAGCTTTCTTCAAAATATCTTCTTTTGCTTTCAACAGCAGAAACTTAAATTTTCAGTTTTGAGTTATTTCTTTAACTCATCATAAGATTAGGTGACTTACTTGCATAACACACACAGCAGGCTTGGCATGGGACGATAACCGTTATCAAGGTATAACGCGGTATGGAAAAGTCAGGATTTTTAAAACTGCCAGCATTTTCTGCTATACCGTTCCTAATGCATGTGTAAGATTTTTCTTTTTCGGAAAACAGTATCGCCAGCAGAAAAATATCCAAAGATGCTAGTTTAAATTGTAAAGAAATCTGTTTTTTTTAACTAATGAAAACAGTAGCCTGATATGTTTACTGCTCCAAAATATTTTAAATGTCTTTCACAATAAAATATATTGTGTTCAAAGCGAAAAAACTATTCTGGGAAATTGATTTAGAAATTTGCCATTTTTTTAATTCTACATTTTAATTCATCATCACATTTAGACATATAAACATTGTCAGCATTCATTAATCTCTACTGTAAACTGACTATTCAGAATCTGACAAAAACATTGACAATACGTAAACAACAATACACACAGCTCAATAAACCTGCATGACTGAGCTCTTTTGAGTCGTCTGCTTCACATGAAGGTGCAAAATCTCAAACCACAAAAACCTTGAGCTGTAAAGCACGCACGCACGCACACCACACACACACACACACACACACACACACACACACACACACACACACACACACCTTATGTCTGTGCAAAACTCAAGCTAGATCTTTATTCACACTTCCAAACACCACTGCTGCCTTTTCTGACAAAACCACCACCTATAAATGGTACAAAATTCACCATCATCATCATCCAATTACTAACCACCTACAACAGCTCAAATTAATCATTTCTACTGACACTTATCAAAGCATCGAAAAATGTGCACAACTTCAAATTTATTGTTTGGTATGGAGATGCATTAAGACAAAAGAAATCGAGGTGAACCAAATTGACCAGCAAATATTGAAGTACATTTCTGAACACCATACTTTTCACAACTATTTATGGTTCTGTTTCAAGCTGACTATGGTTGCTGGGTGTGTTTACCTGTTCAATAAATGACTTTGCTTTGATATCTTTATCTAAAGCAACGGCGTTCAGACATTGAGTGTTCAAACACTTTCTGCCATGACTTTACAGTTGCAGAACAGCTCAAAAATGAAATAATGAATGCTTTGTTTTTTTTTATTTTGGGTTTTGGTGATTTATTTTTTTTATTACCCCAAATTACAAAAAAAAAATATATATATATATATATTTTCATTTCATTTCCTTTAAGGTTACCCCTTTTTTCAGATTTAATTTAAGTGTTTTGTGTCTCCAGAATGTGTCTGTAAAGTTTCAGCTCAAAACACCCATCAGATTTTTCATTATACCTTTTACAAGATTCTATCTTATAGTTTTCCACCAGGGGGTTTTGTCATACTGCGCCTTTAAGGCTAGTCCTACCTGCCTACGGTTTCTATGTGCCTTGCTGCGTGCCTTAATCTCCTTCCTCGGCTGCGTCAGACAACAGACAGACTTTACCAATGAGTGTTTGATGTGCAGTTGCAGAGTCACACACAATGTCGTTACAAAGCATACACACATAGATACACAGACAGAGACACACAAAGACACACAGAGACACACAAACACGCGCACACACACACACGCACACACGCACGCACGCACGCACGCGCACACACGCACGCACGCGCACGCACGCACACACACAGACACACACAGACACACACACAGACACACACAGACACACACACAGACACACGCAGACACACGCACGCTCTCACGCGTGCTTAGCTTTGCACTGTTTTTCCACGCATATGTGACAGGATACAGGTTAATCTCCGCTGCTGTATGGATATCTGTTATGTTAATGTCAAAAATAAACCCGATTTAGTTTCCACAAACCAGGATTGAAGCGTCT